AGTGGAGTGAGGTCGGCGGGGACGGCGACGGGTGCGGGGGTGGTGGGGGTGGGGTGTGGTGGGGTGGGGGGGGGGGGGGGGGGGGGGGGGCCGTGAGAGAAGTTAGTTCAATGTATTTGAATCTGGATAATTCGATAAGAAATGATCTTTAATGGCAGTAGAAGAACATTTCTCGTCACCCCACTGTAGTGTAATTTATGGATATGACGTTTTGCATACCGGTCTGCTGAAATACTTAATCTAATATCAATGGTGAATTTCGACGAAGAGACATTGGATTACTCTCAATACATCTAGGGTGTTCTTTCATTAACACTAAAAGAAGAAAATGATATTTTAAGAAAATATTGGATATTTCAGCAAATCGATATATGAAGTCACGTGTCCTAGAATTATACGACAATGCAGCTAGGATAACTTTCCCTCTTTCATCATCAAAGATCATTAATCATTGAATATTTCAGATTTCAATACATTGAATTGTTCAATTTGAAGCGAATTTGTACATTTTCTCGCTTAGGAAAAGTAGTATCGAAAGAAATATCTACACGTGAACTGAAATATACAGTTGAAAAGTTAGATTGGAACACTGTTCATTGCAAGCGTGTCCCAGAAAATGATAGATGTTATTTACATTAATAAATGATATACCATTTTGTAGAGAACTAAAAGAAACATCATTAAAATTCTGTAAGATCCGTTTTCCTTCGAAGACTCGACACTTCAATAAACAAATAAATTCGAAAATGAAATTTTTGTAATAATATAGGATTATAAAAAAATTTGTGATGAATTAAATGATGAAGATACACCGAGTTTATTTGGTTTACCAGCGAATATTGAACGATCAGCACAAAGAATGAATAGTACACAAGTAAGAGAACAGAAAAGAAAAAACAAATAATATTTATTTGCAAATTAACTGAAAAAACTTTCTTCTAGATAATAAATTCTTTAAAAATTCTTCAACGTACTGATGTTGAAGTACAAAAATTTGATAAAGATAAATGGAGTGCATTATTAACACCATTGCTTAATCTATGGAAGAAATTAAATCAAGTAAAACATCAACAAACAATTTTTTTACTATAATATCGATTTCTATGAATGATAAAAATTTTTTTCTAGGATGTAGATTTATTAAAACTAAGAGTTCAACCACCAGTTGAAGATGGTTCATTATCACCAATTCAATCATTTCTTCAATTAGAACGTTACAATGGTATTCAATTAGTTCAAACAATTCATGAAAATTTAGCTTCATTATCAAAAGTTATTCGAGGTATTAGCTTAATTACAAATGAAATACAAGAATATGCCAAAGACTTACTTCAAAATGAGGTAAATATATAAGAAAAAAAGTTTGACGACTTACGTCAATTAGGAAACAGTTCGAGAAGAAATTTTACTAATAAAAATTTATCTCATACGACTCAATTCTGCCAGTTTTAACAGACATTAAAAATATTCATCTTTTTGATACAATACATCACAGTACAATACTTTCTACAAAAAAAAAAATGTCGGTATCGTGCATATTATACCGACAGTAAGTTTTCGGTAGTTGTTTTTTTTAAACTTCGCAGTACTTATGATGAATATTTATTGATAAATTTTATTTTTACAAAAATCTAATCAAGTTTATAAGAATATTCTCAATACATTTAACTCGATTAATAATTAAGCTTAATCCAATGCTTGTTTATTTTTTAATCTGACAGAGGAGAATTTGAAGTTGTTATCCTACATGTGATTCGAACCGACAAAAAAACCGTCGATACAGTGTTTGGTACAATGTGCACCATACTAGTGGAATTCGCTGGTAGTCGGATACTTAAACGGTGGGGTATCTTTGATCAGCAACCAGAAATGTAGCCAATGAGAAAGGAATCTATGTAAAAAAAAGATTAAAAAATCAGACTAAAAATTGATTATAATGGCATCTAATTTTAATCAGATTTTTTTGGTCTTAAAAGACAGATATAATTTGATTTAATCTTTCTTAATTGATTAAATCTGATTAAAATCAGACTATAATAGTGCCATTATAATCGATTTTTAATCTGATTTTAATCTTTTTTTTATAGCCTTCCTGTTACATGGAGATATGCTCTCCTTACTTTTAGATAATTTTTAGTTTTTTCTAGCCAAAATCATATTTTGTAAAAATCACGTATATTTGCGAAGCTAATAGCGAGTACAAATCTAAACCAATGTTTTGTTGACTCGCCCTCACAAGGCTCTGGCAATCGGAGGTGGAAGGAAAAAGATAAAAGATCATTAGGTGCATTTTCCTAGCAATGGAAAAAGGTGCGTCAGCATTAACAGTAATTCGATCATGCTGGAACTCTGTAGATTCTAACTTGTCCTAATTCTAAGTTTAGACAAAAGTTCAATAGTATATACCAAAGTTCTTTGAAGGTTAAGTCAATGTGCATAGCAGACTAATAAGGTGTTTGAACAGAGGAAGCGAAAAATAAAATGATATTTGCCACTTCCTATCTCGTGCATCGTATATATTATTATTAGAACAAAAAAACAAGTGACGTAATGAAGATGTATCCGACACAACCAATAAATTTTGTCAGTATAACGACGTTAAATGAATCTAATCAATTGTTCTAGATGCAAACATTTTTGAAATGCTAAATTTTCAGACTGCAACTATCAAGGATAAAAATTTTTATTAATTTCATTTTTTCACGCAATCAAAATTTTTTTAAATAAATAAATTTAATCTGTCTGATAGTATGTCATAAATTTATAATAGTCAGAGTTTAGGGATTTCACACTTTGGTTTCTTATGGGACTACTCTGACAATTTTTTTTATTAAAAAACAATTGATAAAATGAAAAGTGAATGTTCAGCACCTTTTCCCGCGCGCCCCCCCCCCCCCCCCCCCTCCTCCTTCCTCTTTTTTTTTCTTTTGTTTTTTTTCCTTGTTTTTTTTTTTTG